ATAAATGGCCCTTGCAGGAGGTGGGCACCTTGGCTAATTGAATCAGCACCCAGGAGGCAAGAGGCAGTAGGCTGGTTAGCATCAAGGCTGAAAAGTGGTGGCAGCAACAGCTTGAATCGGAGTCGCCAGGGAGGAGTCTGAGTGAGCCAGAGAGGCCCAAGCAATCTGGGCCCTTCCTACATGCCAAAAGTCCGTGGTGGAACCTCCTGAGGGGCCTGACACCCCAACTCTAAGTGTGTGACAGGTTATGCAGATCACAGCCAACACACACACACACACACACACACACACACACACACACACACACGGTTTGTACACTCTGGAGAATGTAGGAACAATGGGAAATGAGAGAGTCGGAGACGAAAAGAAAGAATGAGAATGACGTAGCATATCGGCTGTCAGGAATTTGGGTTCCCACCTCCAAGCTGGGGACCTGAATCCCTACCTTCCCTGAGATGCCACTGCAGTTCAGCTGTACGTCACACAGCAACTTCTCAGTCGATGGCAAGCTGGACGCAAAGCCCGAGAGACTTGAGCAGATGAAAAATCCCCCTGCCCGGATGCTTACATACACAAATTCCATTGTGTCACCATTACATGTGGTATTTTACAAATAAACAAGCTCTACATGTTTGCATCCTAGGTGAAACAGGCTATGCCATACATAAAATATACATATTGTTGATATGATGTGAATAGTATATAGAATATACATAGTTTATATATCACATCCATATAGAGTATCTATGCCATATACTAGATAGCAAATACTATGTATTTACACACAAGCGTATATAAGCACACATGTACACACGCCGTACACCCTAGTTATATATCTTGTAGGTATAAAAGTGCAATGGCACAAGAAAACCCACAGAACCAACTAACCTGGGCCTATAGGGGCTCCCAGAGACTGAGCCGCCAACCAGGGAGCCTGCACGGGACTGACCTAAGTCCTCTGCACATATGTTACAGATGTGTAGCTCGGTCTTCAAGTGGGACTCCCAACAGCAGGAGCAGGGGCGGTCTCTGATTCTGTTGCCTCCCTTCGGGACCCTTTCCTCCTACTGGAATGCCCTCAATAGGAGAGGATGCTGCTGGTCTTACTGCAACTTGATAGGCCAGGGCTGGTTGATATCTACGGGAGGTCTCCCCTTTTCTGAAGAGAAACTGAGGAGGAGTAGATGGGGGAAGGGACTGGAAGCAGGAAGGGGAACCTACAGTGGCGACGGAAAGTAAATAAATAATTAATTTTTTAAAAATGCAGTGGCGACAATGTGTGATGACAAATCTCTCAGAGCATGTCCGTTCATTAGGCAACCTGGGCACTTCAGTTAAAAGATAAGTCAGTCCATAAGTGCGCCCTCCGTACAACTAAGCTTCGCATAAAATCAGCAGGTACCAAACGGCTTGCCTAGAGCCCAGAGAGGTTCTCTGGGCAGGATGTCCTTTGCAAATCCATTGCCCTACCCGGCAACGGCAAGTCTGCTTCCCTGCCCATGAACTTGACCCTTGCCTCCACGTGTCTGTCTGAGAAGGGTGCTCTCTCAAGCTGCTTTTCTCACTGATCCACCTCTGCCGGCTGCTCTCCCCTGCGTTGAGTTAGGGCCTGGGCTATGAAGCCTTCCAGAATCCCAGCTTCTGGGTGAGGGGGGGCATACACTCAGAGTTGCTTTGTGGTATTTACTGAATGAATGATGCCACACACCACGGTGACACAGACTCAGCGAAAGCTGGCTAGGAGGCACTCCCAGCTCCCTGCAGAGTGGGGCACACCCGCTGCCTCATTTCCTCTGAGGGGGCACTGAAAGCCTTGTCAGCTTTTTCCTCAACAGCCCTCTAAAGACTTTCATTGCCCCTCCCAGCTTCCCCAAAAGCTCTACTTCCGCAGCTACCGGTCCTCCCCCCCCCCCACTTTTCCCCAGTTCACCACTTCCCCTTGTGGGATCACGTGGTCTCAGAGTATAGCAACCAGAAAGTTCAGTCTCCTGAAGGTGAAGGGTGCTGAAGAATAGGGATTGGTTCAGGATCCCATATTTTGAAAGCGTGTCCACACTTCCGGAGTGGAATACTTAGGCTCTGAAAAGACCGGCTCTATAATGAAGACTCGTGAAGCTGCTCCCCCAGATTCTTCAGGCAAAGAAATTCGTCCCTCGGGACCAGGCACCCACCCCGCCTGGCAAGCTTAGCCCTGAATGCAGCTTGCACGGGCTGACACTGCCCCCTGCTGGGCACATCCAGGATGTTCACGTCAAGTACCATGTTAGTCTCTGCTTCGAGACACAACACATCTACCTGTACCAACCGGACCCTTGCCCCAATATTCTACCCCCAATGCCCTAAGGAGCCTAGGCTCCTTGGAGAATCGGACCCGCATGGATCCTGGAACTCAGATTGGATGCAAACCTTGGCACAGACAAAAGGGGTAGAGAAGCCTCCCACACACTCCAGCTTCCTTCTTCCTTCAATAACTGACAAAGCTACCATAAGGTCACCTGAGGTCTTGAAGACGTCAGTCTGTGTGTCTGTTGCTCATTGCCCTCCTGGACTCTAGAACCTCCTCTGGCTCCAGCCCCACTCTGGCTGGACTCAATGCAGCCATCTTTTCAGTTGGTTTGGTTTGGTTTGGTTTGAGTTTTTATTTTTTTGGATTTTGGTTTTTGGTTTTTGGGTTTTGGTTTTCTGAGACAGGGTTTCTCTGTGTAGCCCTAGCTGCCCTGGAACTCTGCTCTGTTGACCAGGCTGAATTCAGAGCCTTGAACCTGCCTCTGCCTCCTGAATGCTGAGATTAAAGATGTGCACCACCACCACTTGGCTTCTGCAACCATTTTAATCTCAGCACATGAGGATCCAAGTTCACTACCAGAAACCTCCCTTCTCCACCGGCCACATCCATAGGACACCCTTGCTCCGCAGCAGCTGACTCTGTAAGACTCTTTGAATCCCAGAAAACCTTTCAGCGGAGGCCCTCCCCTATACCTCTCACCCCAAGTCCACCTTCCCAGAGCTGCTGGGGTTACTGTCTTAAAGATTTATTCCAGGGGCATTCCTTAACCAAAAGCCTCAACGCCCCTACCCCTTCTCCCACTAGATAGACGTTCCCACAGCATACTCCATACTCCAAATCTGCCACCACAGACTACTTCTCCACCAATGGCAGGTTCCCGTGTCGATAAGACCTCCCAAGTTGCATACAACACACCTAACCTACCAAGAGATAGGAGGTCGTTGCCAACGCCTGGCCCTGAGGAAGAGAAGTCAATCCATATTGATCAGCAGGCGAGAGATCAAAGTTCAAGGTTCAAAATGTGGTTTCTACCTGATGTGTACTGTTTTTCGTGTTAGCACTAAGTCAATAGTCCAACTGAACAATGGCGGATCAGGCCTTCCTTCCACTTTGCGCTTCCCACTGCTTCCTGGCTCCTTCTGTAGCTTCATTATCGTTCTTCCCATCCAGGATACTCTCTCTCCTCAGGCCTTTTAAGTACCACCAAACTCTTTGCCGCCCCAAAAGGCCCACCTTAAATACCGCCTCTTGCTATGAAAGCCTTTCTTGGTCCCCGGCAGTTATTGCCTCTGGCACGCAAGACCTTGTGCCACCTCCTGTGGCACTTTTGTTCCCTTCTTGAGTACAGACATCTGTGCTTCGTCTCAGCTTTTCACACCTTGAGGCCAGGGAATACACATATGCAGTGTTGCATTGTATAGGCTGGCTGGAGTAAGATGAGAAGTGCATGACCATTCCTTTCCACAAGCTCAGGTTTTTCTCACAAGAGAGAGCATAAAGACACAAAGTCTGTGGGGAAGCTGGGCACCAAGAAGCCCTAAAGGGTTTAGAGGAAAATGCAAAGCTGGAAGGGCTCTCAGCTCTTATGGCATCACACACGCCCTCAAATTATAAAGGGGCAAGAGAGATGGCTCGGTAGTTAAGCATTTGCTGCTCTTCCACGGGACCCAGGTTCCGCACCCAGACGATAGCTCACAACTGTCTGTAAATCCAACACCCTCTTCTGGCCTCTGTGGATACTAGGCATGAATGCATGAAGGAAGCGGGTAGGGGCAAGTGCTGGGAAAGGCTGGCCAGGACCACACAATCGGTAAGTCTTATTGCTAGTGCACAAAAGACACAATAAGTAACTCCATCTTGGGGCTGATGAGATGGTTCATCATGTAACGGTCACTAAGATTGATGACCTAGTTCAGTCCCTGCAACCCACTTGGTGGAAGGGTGGAAGGAGAGAACGGACTCCTGCAAGGTGTCCTCTGACCTCTGCATGTGCAATGTGGCACAAGCCCTGCCTGCCATGCACACAAAATATGTGAATAAGTGTTTGAAAAATGTTAAAAGCCAAGTCTTTCCTGCAATCCAGATTTTTCACCAACCCTTCACACACCCACTGTCATTTTTCTGTCCCTGCAAAAAAAAAAAAGTAAGACATGTCTGAATGTTTTCATGCTTTGAAAGGACCTCACATTTCATGTGTTGAAAACAAAATCTCCAGAGTTATGTGCCCATGGACTTGGAGGTGGGGCCTTTGGGATTGGGTGATGAAGACACTGCCTTCATTAAGTCATTTGTGGACTAGGGAGAAGCTTTACTCTCTCTGGCATGCTAACTATCTTCATGGCACATGATGTCCTCTCTCACATTATCACGCAAGAAGGCCCTCACTAGATGCCCACTTTGTGTTTGTGGACTCCCCAGCCTGAAGACCCCTGAGCTGAATACATACATACATACATACATACATACATACATACATACATACATAATAAGACCTCTCTTCATAAACTATCTACCCTGTAGCATTTAGTTAGAGCAACAGAAAACAGATTAAGATAAACGCTTGCCTATGGCACCCAGACCTTCTTGGCCTCTGACTCTGTAGACAAATGCCGAGGCCCCATCCTAGGCCCAAAGATGATACCACATAGGTGAAGAATTCAGTGGGCCAGCCACAGCATTCATCCCACCATACAGCATTCAGGCCACAAAGGAGTAGCTCAAAAATGGTTTAATGACTAGAAAACTCTGGGATCTAGAAGGACAATAGCCACCCTTGTTGCTAACCAGAAGCCAGGGTTGTCCCAAGAAGGAAACACATGTAGTCAGGGAGACTGCACAAGCCAAGGAACCAGTGCATCTGTGGAAATCCTGTTGCCTCCTAACAGAAATGGCCCTAGTTCCCTTTAGACCCAAGGCATGGGGAGGAAGTGGAAAATTCGTAGGAGGAGGGTGTGTCCCTCTAGGGCCCTCTTCCTGCTCTAGGCTGTTGACTCACACACTACACAAACAAGGCAGGCTCAGCCTGGAACTCAGGAAGGGGCAGTGAGCAAAAGGACTCTATCAGAAGCCCCCATTTCTCCTCCTTAGCTTCCAAAGACCTCCATGGGAACTCTGTCTCCCATCTCCTGGCTACCCCCTTACTTTGGGCCTTTTTTAAGTATGACATTGTCATACTCCGTTACCTGTGGCCAGCCAGGCACAGAGGAGTCTTGCTGGAGGGGGTTGGGACCCCTATCAGCAGTGGCCTGCTCCTTCCATGCCTCCCCTGGAGGCTCCTGTGGTCTCTCATACAGGGATAGGGCAGCCATGCCCTCAGGCTCATCATATATATGGTCAGATGGAGGGGCCACAGGGTCCTCCTGGATGCTGTCATATAGCGGGTCAGGATGGAGCAGAGGAGGACCCGTCAGGATACCCCTGAAGTTCTTCCTCAGGGAGCAGGCCACTGTATCAAAGGGTACGGCATACTCCCCCTCAAGGGCCCCCGGCCTTATGCCAGGCACTGTTGTGGCAGGGGATGGAGAAGGTAGAGAGTCGTGAGGCCGGGAGTAGGGGCTTTCAGGCCGAGGCAGCACAGTGGGCATCATGGGCCCTGTGGCTGGCAGAGGTGGAGGCCCAGAAGGGGCAGCATTCTTCTGGACAGCAATGGCCTTTTCTAGGGCTTGGAAGATCTCGTTGCCTTGTCGTGTTTCGAACTCAAAGTTGCCCTCTCCAGAGACACAGCGTCGGCCAGCCTCAAAGGAGAAAGTCACCTGTGGTGAGGGGAAGTGGGGTTGTGGCATCATTGTTTTCTGGACCTCCACCCAAACACAGAAGTTCTGGCCCCAGTCTCCCTCCATCAGAAACTGCTCTTCAATCTCTTGTCCCTCTGGACCCTGTGTTTTGTATGTTGGAGTTCATTGGTTGGTTGGTTATGTGGGGAAAGACCCTCACTATGTAGCCCAGGCAGTTACCTCCAACTCTGTCTCCTGCCTCAGTCTCCTTGGTGCTGATATTATGTTGTGTGCCACTATACCTGGCCATTTTTTTTCCTGACAAGAACACCCTCTCCTCTCCCCTCCCACTCATGCAAGAACTGAGTGAGCTCAAGAAATGTCAGCAGCTTGTCTGCCCTTCTCATCCCTTCTCCACTTCATCTCTCTCTCCACCCAGACCTTTTGGCTTCCACTCCTTTCCGCTCCTGGTTCTCCCACCTCTCCTGTCTCTTTGGCTGGCCTTCCTCCTCCCTTCATTCTGTCTTTCTTTATTGGCACTCTGCTCCTCTCTGGCTGTTCCTCTTAGGTAACTCATCTTTGGTCTCAGCCTGCTCAGTTCAGCCCCTCACTCACCTTGTCACGCCCAAAGCGCCGAAGAAACCTGTAGGGCCAGTCATATAGCTGTGTGCCTGGCTCAGGGCCACCCCAGAGCTCTAGGGCACTCACACCGACCCGGAGAGTATAGGGCCCTCGGAGCCTGCACCGCTCACTGGCTTCTGTGGGTCTCATGGTCACAGCATATTCCTTGCAGACCCCTGGGGATGAGAAGAAAAGAAAACTAAGAGGTAGCTACAGGAAACAGTCGGCCTACTTTCGCACTGATCCATCCTAAGTAAGCAGGCCAGAAGTGCTCAAGAGAAACTTGTGTCGCCTGCGACCCCACTGCAGATCTTAAAGCCTAGGCTGCTGACCCCGCCTCCTCTCCTGGAAGGCATCGTTTGTGCCCTTTGCCACATCACCCCAATTCTGGGCCCACATCCTTCCTGCCCCAGTGCCAGAGCCATCACTTGGTTTTCTCTACTCCACGTCTTCACACACACCTCCCCCACCTCCCTGCTGTTAAAGCTAAGGTGAAACCTGACCCAACCCTCCTAAAATCAGCATCCCTCTTTGTGGGTGGAGTTTAAATGGAAGAGTCTCTCTCCTTTGTCTGCATCACCAGCCCAGAAAGCAATAACTGGGCCGCCCTTATCAGCATCGTGTTCCCTATTCACAGGACAGCCTGTACAGTCAAACCCAGACAGAAAGCAATTCTTTCTTCACACAATCACTCAGGACCCACAGAGAGAGGGGTCAAGACCAAAACCCTCAGCCTCGATCAGGCAAGACAGGCTGGGCCAAGGGTGACACTGGGGAGGCCTGAGCACCAACCACCTTGTGCCACACCGAGAAGCCAGGAAGAGAAGCTGATAAGCTGGGCCCAGGGTAACCACAGGCAGGAAGCCTTGACCCTGCAGCCAGCCCAAACCTCCTCCTCAGCCCCCATCCCTCACCTGTAGTGGAGCTGCTATACAATTCATTCTCCTCCATGCAGGGCCTGTCATTCTTTTCCTCCAATCCTGAGGACTCCTTCATCTGCCCCTGAAAAGGTGGTCCCAGGTCTTACTACCAAAACCCACCCCAAGGCCTCTCCCTCTGACTCATGCTTTTTTTTCAGTGCACACCCAGCCTCCTAGCTCTTGACTCCACTTCAAATTGGGTTCCCAGAAGATGGAACTCCCCTAAAAAAGACTTTGTTTCTTCTACCACCTGCCCACAGGAAGTAACTTTGCCCTCCCCTGTGTGTCGGAGAGCCACTTTGCACTCCTCACCGGGAAAGCCAATAGGCAGATGGCCTGTATCCAGTCACTGCGCTCTGCTGAAGGGGCTGCCAGCAGGTACAGACGCTCCTTGGTCTCCAGGACGAAGGCGCTGGTGTCCCGGGGACTGCCAGCCTCACTGCCTACCTCAGCTACCCGTAAGCAGTCACTGAGGCGGACAACCTTCCGAGTGGCTTCTCCTCGACGTGTCTTCTCTGGGCCATCCTGGAGCTCCAGTCTGGCTAAGGCACAGCCAGACTCTCCATATAACACGGCTGTGAACCGGCGCCATTTCTGAACCCAAGCATGGCAGGTGGAGCCAAGAAGAAGCCATCAGAGATGGAGGGACAGTCATCAAAGGGGAGAAGAGGAACTGTGGAAGAGGGTGTGGAGCTGGGGCAGGGACACAGGATGGGGAGAAAGAGAGCCAGAGAGGCAGTGAGGGCAACAGAGACCATGAAATGAGAGAGCTAAAGATTACCAAGATCTGCAGACTGGACAAGGACCACAGTCAATGGCCTATGGGTACAGAGTGCAGAGAGATGACAGGCCCAATTGTCAGGTACTGGGGAGAAAAAGCCTGCATCACTGAAGCCCAGAGAGGAACGATAAGGAAAGGGTAGCTTAGAGGAGGGACAAGTCCTCACCCCATAGGAAGGCTCTGGCTCCAAAGCCTTCCAACTACTTTCCCTTTTGTCTCACCATGAGTTGGACCATGAGAGACAAACAGAGAGGCAAAGACCAAGACAGGTATGTGGGGAAGTATAGCTGGGTAACAGTGGGAGGCTGAGGAGTTTCTTTTCTCCTTCAAGGAGGCTAGGGAAGGAAGAGGTTGGAACACCCAGGGGCCGCAGCTTAGTAACAGTCAAAGGTGAAAGGAACCCTCACTGTCATCCCGAACCACCCCCCCAACTCTTCCTTCCGTACCCTTCCAAATTACCCCCAAATTTTGAGCAGGAGAACAAAAAAAGATGATGATGTCAGCATCTGCTTCCTTCCCCACCCCACACACAGCCCTCAGCAAAGAGGGCAGTTTGAGACCTGGTTTAGGAGGCAAGGCACCTTAAGGAGACAGTCATCTTTCCCAAGTCGTGTTGTTGTCTAAAATTGGTGGAGCACGTGATCTCATAAGGGTCAGGGACATTAAGACCTCCCACTACCCCAGGAATTAACACCACCCTCCTGGCAGCTGCTCTGCCCAGACCTAGCCCAGCCCTTGTCCCTCTCACCTTGCCGAAGGTCTGCTGCTGCTGAAGATGCAGGGAGCCCTGCTTCAAAGCCACGGCCTCCATCCTGACCATCGCCGCTTCAGCTTGCCACTGCCATTGCCTCTGCCTTCGTTCCTCTCTCTTCTGGGCCTGTTCCCCCTTCTCTCTAGTTCATTTCCTCTCTGCCTAGAGTTTTTCTACACTATTCTAGTCTGCTTGATGACGACAGGCTGATAGGCCTTGTGGTTTCTTGCTGTATGTGTGTGTGCCTTTTTTTTTTTTTTTTTTTTGAGTTCACTTCATGCTCAAGCCTCCTTCCTGCATTTCTAGTGAGTAGCATACAAGTTCCAAAACAGCACAAAGTTCTCACTTCTTCAGAAGCTGGTGTGAAGGACTGACCCATAAGAACAAAAAGACCCTAAAATCAAGTTGTAAAAGAAAACCAGTGGCGAGGCCTCTCCATCCAGGCAGGATGCTGAGTGTATCAGAGCTGGAAGAACCCTTCAGAACCAATCCACACAACCTACTCATTGAAAAGAGAAAATTGAAAGAAGGGATGGTCTATAGGGCTTGTAAGGTTACCAGCCCAGAACCCAAGTCTCCCAACTCAGGCAAAGCTGAGCCATATACCCAGTGATGTAGAGACAGACGAAACACATACGTGCACATGCACGAAGACATACCCATACCTGTGTGCCAGTCCCATTATATGAAAGCATTTCCTGCCTGCCAGCAACACATACACTACGCAACCCTGTGGAGAGTCCAGAAATAAGAATATTCCCTCTAGAGAAGGCTTACTCCCCAAGCGCATCTCAGCCTGTGGCTCCCTCCCTTAGCACACTGGGTTTCATGTGGAACATACCTTAAGTCACAGGAGCTTCTGAACTCCCAATTCTTCTACACCTTTTCACCAGCTGCCTTTCACTCCTTGGCTAAGGCAGGGTGGGCATGAGCATACCTGTTTGCAACTTACCTGAAATCACAAAACTGTGATGGAACAGGGGAAGATTGCTCATGCAACAGGGATTTTACTTGTTTGTTTGCTGGTTTCACTGGTTGATTTTTGATGTTTTGGGAAACAGAGTCTCATATAGCCTGGACTGGTCTCCAATACATGTGTCATCATGCCTAGCTAGTGCAACTTTTTTATGACGTGTGTGTGTGTGTGTGTGTGTGTGTGCGCGCGCGCGCTCGCGCACACCTATGGAAACAAAGACCAGCCTCGGGTCTCTGTCCTCACCTCCCACCCTGTTTGAATGGGGTCTCTTGTTGTTTGCCTTCTCCTAAGCCAGAGTAGCTGGCCCATGAAAGGCAGCTTCTGGAAATCCTCCTGCCTCTGCTTCCCCCGTACTGCAGTGATTGCAGGTGCTGTTATGTCTAGTTATATAAATTCTAGAGATCTGAACTCAGGTCCCCATCCTTGCATGTGGTTTACCCGCTGACACATCTTCGCAGCCTAATGCAACATCTGTAATGCAACTTCTATCGGGCCCTAATCAGAACGCAGATCCATCCAGAAAGAGAATCTCTTGGAAAAAGTCATGTTCCATGGAGAAAGTCACCTGAGAGCCAGATGACTTGAAGAAGCAGTCTGGAATGGTTGGGGCAAACTGAGGATTAGACCGTACTCCTAGGGGCAATCCCAGAGGGCGTTTCTATAACGCAGCCCTTTTCTTCTACCACAGGGCTCCGGTTGCGTGTTGTTCATGCCTTCTGCTGTAGATGCCATGTGCATAACAAAACAGCTCAGAGAGATAAACTGGGGTTTGGGGATGTGTTGCTCTAGTTTACCTCCCTCAACCTTGCTGCCAGGGTTTGAACAGATTGGACCAAACACCAAAGGAGGACCATCAATGTTGTGGTGGGAACACTGCCTTGGGAAGGGGCTAGGAGTATGTAATGGGGTACAGCCTCCTGTGTCTTTGAAGTATCACAGACTCTTCACTGCCATTTCATCTTCACCTGGGAAATTTTACTTGAACCCAGGTATATAAACAGCTACACAAATCAAGCACTTACTACTACTACTAATAATAATAATAATAAAACTTACTTTAAAAAGAAGTTTTGGATATATATTACCATTTATTTAAAACAGAAGCAGGACTGTAGAAATGGCTCGGCCATTAACAGCCAAGGCTCACAATCAAAAATACAAAGACAGAAGCAAATTTGCATACTGAGATGTGTACACGTGCTCATTTTCGCACAATAACTTTGTGCTGGCTGAACATTTGATAATGCATGGCATGGAAACCTCATGAATCAATCATTGCCCACACCCTACTCATTGAAAAGTAAGGAAACTGAAGTTAGGGGTGGTCTGGAGAGCTCCTGAAAGACTACCAGAGTCTACCATCTCAGGCAAAGCTGAGTCACGTACTCTGTATCAAAAAGCAGCTTCTCGAAATTCTCCCATCTCTGCCTCCCATCTCGCCTGCAGGAGTAGCAGATGCTCTCAGAGTATTGATTTATCTAAGTCTGGTCCTCAGTGCTCTTCAGAGTTGATGACTACTTGATTTTTATAATCATTAGTGCTGAGAATACACCTGACATAGTACAGCTGGGCATGGTGGAACACACCTGTAATCCTAACACTTGGCAGGGCAGACAGAAGGACTAGGAGCTCAAAGTCATCCTTGGCTACACAGCTAGTTCACAGCTAGTAAGCCTTGGCTATAAGAGACTCCTCCTACCCCCGAAAAAAAACACATGCATGCATGCATCCATCCATACATACATACATGCATATGTAGTACGAAGTGACAGTGTTATGTTTAGGGTCATTTCGGAAACTACTGGATATCCTATGCAAATCCCAAGCCAAAATACATGTAATATTAGTCAGCAACTCAAAGAGCAGTTTTTAAAATAAAATATTCTAACAGCACAATTCAAGGATATACAAATTTTATAGGTGCTGAGGAATGATTGTAGGAAAATATTGGCCTTTTTTTTTTTTCTATTATCAAGACATTATGTTTCTATAGCAGCAGAAAGCTTGGTGTGTGCTATAAAGATTCAGCAGTTCGTGATATATAATATTCTTGTATCTGAACTAGGCTGTTTCGGGCAGTCTCTGGCATTGCATAGTTTGACAGTATATGCAGAAAACAGTGAGCATGTTGTGTGCTCTGAACTGCAGCCGAAATGAAGTCTCATTGTGCAATTCAGGAAAGATTACCAGGATCTCTTAGATTCATTACACATTTGGTTTTGAATTAAATTTTAGTTTGTATGTCTGTCATTCTCCATTCTGAGGGGGCCTGGATCTCAGCTGAGGTTCTGGAGCTCGGCTTCCAGACAAAGAACAGGAGTTCCACTTCTCTCAGGGGCAGCTGGAGTGCCTTAGGGTGAGGCCTGAGTGTGCTAAGCCAGGGTATGGAAAAGGTTTTCCAAGAGCGCTATATTTTAGCTCTTTTAGCATGAGATCACTAGTGGCAACAGAAGCTCGGTCATTCCAAAGCTTAGGGCGATACCAAAGTGTTACAGCTCTTGGTCAATGTGCTGTGCTGAGCATGAAAGAAGTGCAGGCAAAAGCCCATGCCTGGTCATCTTGCAGCCAAGACACAGTGAGGCCCAGGCCCAGTGGACCAGACGGCAGGCCCAGTGAGATGCGACCCAGCAGAAGATAAATGATGAATCTCAGACGGTCTTGAAGTGAGAAAGCATGTACCTTTATAAACCCTGGGCAGAGAGGGGGGCTTCAAGGGTGAATCTGTTTGATTCGCTGGGGTCAGGGATATTTAACGGTCCTATCACAAGAAGGAAAATACAGCACTTAATTATCCTATGGGGGGGAGTTGATTTCCAAGTACAATTAAAGGTCACTGCTAGACTAAGATCCTTAGCAGGATGGGGTGTTCCTAGGAGTTCCTAGATGCTTGCTAGAGCAGTTTCCTTATCAGGGAAGGGTCTGGCCTGTAATCTGCCCTGAGGGCTATGTGACCTCCTTACAAGACCTGGGATCACCCAGATCAGGAGAGACTTTTAAAGCCCCGCTGAGAAAAGGGAGTGTATCATCATGGAGCGAGTGCAATTAAATGGCTATCCGGAGATGACTGACTTCAACCTTTTTCAGCAGAGCCACACACATATCCAGAAACCTTTTACCATTGCCTTTTTTTTTTTTTTTTTTTTTTGCTACTCCCTCCCCCATGTTCTTTTTCATGATCCCATATGAGGTTGTGACTCAAGAGGTTAAGACCCTAAGCTCTAGAGAGTCGGTCTACCTGGAACCAGTGTGGTCTTTGCCTCTGCTTCTTTGAGAGAGATCACTTGCCTTCAAACCCCAATGTGCTGTTCTTGTTAAAAGTGCAGGTTTGGCCAGGTGGTGGAGGCACATGCCTTTAGTCCCAGCACTCAGGAGGCAGAGGCAGTCAGATCTCTGTAATTTTGTGGGCAGCCTGGCATAGAGTGCCTGGACACCCAGGGATACACAGACAAACCCTGTCTTGAAAAAAAAAATCATTATTATCCCAACACTTGGGAGATACAGACAAGAGGATTGCAATAAGTTCAAGGCCAGCCTGGTTTTCATAGTGAGTTCCTGGTCAGCAAGGGCTGGCTAGTCAGTAAGACTTGTGTCTGAAACCATCAAAAGCAAAACAACCCACAACAGAATACAGATTTTTTTTTTTTTAAAGGGTTTCTTGTATAGCCTTGGCTGTCTTGGACAGCTTTGTAGCCCAAGCTAGCCTTGAACTCATAGCAATCCACCTGCCTCTGCATACAGGCATGCACCACCACGACCGGCTCGAAGACAGCTTCTTATTGGATGGCTCTGGTTTGACACTTCTGGGGAGTGGGTTAGCACATGCCTCACAAGAGTGCAAAGAATGGTTTCTTTCTCAACCACCCTGCTCACCTTCCAACCTGAAGGCAAACCGGATACATACCACTCAGAACCACAAGGGGGCACCCGAGTTTACCAGATTTCTTGGAAACTTTTAAAAGCTGACCCACCACACATTCCAGGCACCCCATCCCATCGCTAGCCTGTAGAAGCTGAAGAGGTACTCTTCCCACAGCCATAGTCTGAAAGAGGTAAGGAGGTGAAGTCTACTAAGAACACATGTCTCCCATCAAGCTCGGCTTCACCCAGCCGGAACGGGAATCCTGAAGTGGAAGCACTAACCACAGTATGTTCTGCTTGGCCTCTGGAGAAGCACGTGAGCAGGAA